TGCCAGTTGAGCTTGATGTCCTGCGACCATGGTCCTGAGCCCTCAGGCCCAGCAACTCACTCCCTTAAGGTATTTGGCTGTGGGTAAGAAGCTAGCATAATTTTGCCATTATCAGCTCCACTACGTATATGGACATTCTTATAGCACATACAAATACATATGTAGAATTATGTTTTGCCTACCCATACCTGACCATTTTGCCTGTCTACCTATATAACCTCTGGTAAATTAATGTTCATTGTTTCTGAAAATGGAGTATTGTGCATGTAGACGTAGTTACCTTTGCTGTCTGTACCTCTCCATGTCTTCCTTTTCCTTAGTGTTATTGTGTGGGTCATTTGCTTTTGGTATATATTTTTTCCCCCTCACCCAAATCAATACTTATTTCTTACCTATCTAGCATTTTTCCCTCTCCTCATGGTAGCCAACAAAGAAAGTTTCTTTCCATGTGTTAATGTTTTCCTGACTTTTTACAATAGTGGACTGGAACAATATTTGTCCTTCTGTGATTGACTTATTTCACTCAGCATAATGTTCTCTAAGTTCATCCATGTTACGAGGTTATGTTAGGCTGGGTTCTCTAGAGAAGCAAAACCAGTAAAGTTGAGAGAGAGAGAGAGAGAGAGAGAGATTTATCTTGGGAAAATAGCTCACACACTTATAGAAGCTGGCAAGTTTCAAATTCTTGGATTAAACATCAAGCTGGAGGCTTTTCCTGATTCACACAGCTGCAGGGGCTGACAAGCTCAAGGTTGACAGGCAGTACACTGGCTGTTGACTCCAATGAATGATGAATCCAAGATCTCCAGGCTGAATGGTGGATTGTTTGCTCACGGACAGTTGTAGGCAGCACAACAGGATCCCAATCCACAGAAGAAGAGAGAGTCTCTTTTCTCAAGATGCCCACAAATATACTGGAAGCAGGCCACACCCCTAGGAAAACTCCCTTTCAATGGATTGGCTGTTCAAAGCATATATACATCTGATCCCATCATGGGAACAACCCATATTACAATTGCTCAAACTACACAGAACCGTGGTCCAGCCAAGTTGACACACAGCTCCAACCATCACAGAGGAATTTTGTGCATTCTTCATTAATCTAAAATGTTGCATAATATTCCATTATTTATATTTACCACTCTTTGGTTATCTATTCATCCGTTGATGGGCATTTAGGTTGTTTCCATCTCTTTGCAATTGTGAATAGTGCTGTGATGAACATGGGTGTGCTTATATCTATTTGTGTCCCAGATCTCAGATCTCACTTCTTTAGGCTATATACCTAGTTGGGGGATTGCTGGGAGCTCTGGTAGCATAGTGCCTAAGGCACTTGACTACTAACCAGAAGGCTGGTGGTTCAAACCTACCAAGTACTCCTCAGAAGGAAGATTGGGCAATCTACTTTTGTAGAGATACTACCTTGGAAGTCCAAGGAGAGGCTACTATGAGTTGAATCAACTCCATGGCAGTGAGTGGTATTGCTGGGTCAAATGATATTTCTATTTCCAGCTTTTTAAGGAAGCGCTATACCATATTCCACAGTGGTTGTATCATTTTGCAGTCCTATGAGCAGTGCATGAGAATCCCAATCTCTCCACATCCTCGCCAGCATTTGCTACTTTCTGTCTTGTTAAACTCTGCTATTAGTGGTGGGGTGAGATAGTATCTTATTTTTGTTTTGTTTTGCATCTCTCTAATGGCTGATGGTCCCAAGCATTTCTTCATGTGTTTGGTGGCTGCTCCCAAACCACTCTTTAAAGTATATCTCAAGGGAAGAATAAGGGTCTAACTTAATGGGTACTGAGTTCTTTTCAGGGTGATGAAAAAGTTTTGAAAATGAACAGTCGTGAGGGCTGCATAACACTGCAAACATAATTAATACTGCTTAATTGTACACTTAAAATGGTTAAAGTGGCAAAGTTTGTGCTATATGTATTTTACTACAATAATTTTTTAAAAAAAGAAAAAAAAAGTATTTTGAGCTCTATTTTCTCCACAAAGTACCTGGATCACTCTAGGAATGGCTTTTTCATCCTGTCACCTTCTGTCTTGCTGTCAGTATTTAGTGTTAACAATTAGTCAAATTAAATAATAATATAACAGGTCAAGGGTTTTACCAAATAGTTTGAAGGTTGATGAAAATGTGAATTCTATGGTGCAAATGGTTGACAATGGACTGCTAATCTAAGGAATGGCATTTTGTACTCACACAGTGATGCTGATGAAGCAAAGCCCTGGTGATCTTCTTCCATTAAGATTGCAGCCAAGAAAGCTCTATGAAGCAGTTCTACTCTGAAACACATGGGGTTGCCTAAGGTCAGGGGTCAACTCAATGGCAGCTAACAGCAACAACAATGACATGTTAGTCATTGATCACAGCATAACCAGTGTCACATTGCCTGAGTGATGGACACATGGATGAATGAACAGATGTGTGGATACACGTAGCATGATTGGTAATCAGGACAGTTGATTTGGAGAATGGGGAGAAAAGAGCTGATTCAGTTCACTATATTTATTGGCCTACTTCACTTGTTTAAATTACCTGCCTGGTCCCTCTAGATGTTTGAAGCTGTAAAGGATGCTTTAACTTTTGGTGTATGAGAAAGCCGAAGACTGTGAATTCATTCTGAGGAGAAAGCCTAACACACATAAAGCCTTTATTCATGAAGATATTCTCTGCACTATTATTTACAGTAATGAAAAATCGGAAGCATTTTAAATGTCTTACAACACAATCTAGAAAAGTATGATATATCAATTCAATGGAGTATGGTCATTAAAATGATAATTACAAAGACTATAGAGACAAATTTACTGTATACATTATGCAAAACATATAAAATACAAAAGTATGCATGTGGTATGCTTATAACTTTATAAAGATATTGTTGTTTGAAATCAAGATGGGAAGAGAGTGCATAAATAAGAAAATAGTTATATTTGTTTTCTCCTTTTTTTAAAAAAAATGTTCTAAATATTTTCTATATTTTTTCCAATGAAGATTAGGGTGGTAAAAGAGAACATATGACAGATAAACAGATGGATAGGAAACTTGGTGCAAAGAAGATGTTGGAAGAAAACTAGAGGTAATATGGAGCAAAGAGATAAAATTTACCATAAAGGGAAGCAGGAGATTCAATTAAATTTACCTCACCTGAGACAAATTTTATTGTGGCATCTGTCACGTGAATCCATCCATTTATTTTTGCATGAATCTTTTTCATTCTTATAGTTCTACAGGTGTGTGTGTACGTGTGTGCGCACGTGTGATGGGGAAGATCCAATTTTTAAAATGCACCTTTGGCCATCATGTAAGAGCAGTTCTGATAATAGGAACCACTTCTAAAAGAAGCATGTTACTTGAAATTTTAAGACAATTCTTTACAAAAGTGTACAATACAATGAATTCCAACAGACTTCCCAGTTGTTTCTTATAAAGCCAGTGGAATTTCATCACAACGAGCACATTGCAATTAATAGTATCCAGAAGTTTGTTGAACTTAAATAATTAACAAGTGAAAAACAAAACCTCTGAATTCAGTCAGGAAAGGAGAAAAGCACTTTAGACAATGAATCACACATCCCATTTTGTTCTAGAAACTCTGAGGTAGTGTTGATTTGGATATCCATCTGGGGACTGAGCTGAGAAATGACTGGACTTTGAGGTGAAGAGAGATGAGGGGAAGAGGTTAGAGGTAGCTGCTCTGTGGTGATGACAGACTAAGGAAGCCAAAAGGAAGGCTCTTAGAATTGAATTCTCCGGTGTCTCCTCTTCAACTAACAATACAACCCGCATACTTCAAGTGACTGGTAAAGGCACAGAGACTGGACAGAAGTATTTATTTTAGGGGGATTCTCATGGTAGAGACTTTGCCATAACTCTGGGATGATGGAAGTAGCAGAAACACAGGATTTAGAAAATCTGAGTTCCAGTCTAAACACTAGCTGTATGCAGCTGGACAAATAATTTCATCCCCCAGTTTCCATATTTGTAGTTACTTTGATGGCTGTGACAGTGTTAAAATAACAACAATGTCTCCACCCACCTACCGTGTCACAGTAAGGAGTAAATATGATAAGAACCTAAAAATACTTTGTAAGCACTAAAATGCTTTAACAACATTAGTATCAGGATCACTCTGGATTATTATTGATCTCATCAATGTGACAGGACCAGGACTTACTTTCACTCTTACTGAAGCTATTCACCAATTTCCTTTGACCCAGATGTTTTCAGGGGATTTTACTTTGAATTTGTAGAAAGGAAAAGGCCTGTTCCTGCCAGGACTGTATTTGGCAGAGAGTTTATCATTAAACATATAAACAGCACTACTAACACAGGAGAAACTGCAGCATTCTAGATTCAAAGTGAGTGAAAGGGCTATAGGACAGTAGAATATTGATCAGATAATTTGCTTTGGTCACGAGTTTCTTTCTGTACATACCTGAATGACTTCCAGAAGTGAATGTCACTCAAATCATAAGACTCAACCTGCTGTACTCAGAGATCCTCCCCCTACACACATTTCAACAGCAAAAGTGTTTTTTAAATTGTCCAGAATATTAAATGCAAAATCAGTTCCATTGTACCTGGATCCAGTTCTTTCATCGGGCCAATGAAACATTGCAACTGACCTTCAGGTAGTCAGCTCTTCGCCTGAAAGCTTAACTTTTCTTTCTTTCTCATTTGTCATCTAGGATCCAGTTTCTTTGAGCCTAGATGTCATAACCTCCACCATCCTTAAGATTTGTTTTTCTATAAAAATATTGCTTGATTTCTGTCCTATTAAAAAAGACTATACTGAAAAAAAAAAAAAACTCATTGCCTTCTAGTCAATTCCAACTCACAGCGACCCTTCCTCGGTTTCCGAGGCAATAACTATATGGAAGTAGATTGCCCAGTCTTTCTTCTAAGGAGTGGCTGGTGGGTTTGAACCTCCAGCCTTCTGATTAGCAGTCATATGCCTTAGACTATGCATGATTTGAAAATGAAACTATACCAAAAAACAATGAAAGAAGACATATCCACTCTCTATCTTCTCTTTTCTCTAGTCACTCAGCATTATAATGTTATTTACTATGATTATCATTGCCTATTGTCTTACATTATTTTTTACCCATTTATTCACTATAGTCTACTTTCTCTTCAGATCCTTCTTCACATACTACATACTGATAAGCTACATCTCAGAGGCCTGGCTGAACTACTGATATTCTGTGTCATGTTGTCCTTTGGCTGACCTTTTGGTACATTTCACTTTTCCCTGATTGTCACAACCCATCAGTTGCTAGTAAAAATATGGCAACTGGATTTTTTCCTTCTACCTGTTTCATAACAGGGTCCTGACCC